ACACTAAACCAAAAAATTGATTTCATTTCTTTTTTTTTATCTTTATTGAGCCAAACGCCGTTTTAAAAACGTTTTCATTTTTTATTTTTTGAAAAACGTGAAAAATAAAAACGAGATTAATTCCAAACACGGTCTTGTTTTTTGTATGAAAATTAAAATGAAAACGTTTTCAATTTCAGATATAATTCATTTCTAAAAATGAGTTTGGTAGTTTTATCAAAAGATTATTTTCAGTATAAAAAATCTATTAATGTCTCTTTCTCTCTGCTCGAGAGAGAAGAAAACGAAAAAAAAGAAACGACTAAAAGTCATTTTTCATTTCTCTCTCATTTTACACTAAATTAAAAAAATCATTTTCATTTCCTTTTTTATTTTTATTGCGCCAAACGCCGTTTTGAAAATGTTTTCATTTTTTTCTTAAAAAACGTGAAAAATAAAAACATGATCAATTCCAAACACGGCCTTAAGGGCGCGTTTGGAATTCGTTCCAAAATGATTTTATTTTTTGTATGAAAATGATAATGAAAACGATTTCAATCTCAGACAAAAATTATTTTTAAAAATGTGTTTAGTAATTTTATCAAAAGATTATTTTTAGTATAAAAAGCTCTATTAATATCTCTGTCTCTTTCTCTCTGCTCGAGAGATGAAAAAATAAAAACAAAAAATGAAAAACCATTAAAAGTTATTTTTTATTTCTCTCTCGTTCTTCCTTTCCTTCTCTCATATCCTATCCATCCTTTCACTAATTCATTCCTCCTACTAAACATACCTTAAAGCGTTTCACTGCATTTCTAAACTGCTCCACCGACAGTACAACCAAGAATTTGATTCTTATTTTATATTTTTTTTTGTTGGTTTAGATACATCTTTTAGATTCGACAAAGCATTTTGGCCTCATTTGTTTCAAATTTTCAATTCGATTAGAGATGTGGTATTTTTCTGAGAATTTTTTACTGTAGTAGATTATGTTAGATGTGACATTTTTTAAAAACTTTTAACTGTAAAAATTTAAAACTGAAAAATTAAATCGGTGAAACGAACGAGACCTTAACAAAACTCAAGCTACAAGCTACATTGTACTTCCTTTGACTGTAGTGATTTGTTTTTAGCCAAAATTGCATTTACAGTGAATCTTGTAAAATTATTAAAACCTCGTTCAGTTTGCGAGTTTGAATTTTTAATTCGAGTTAAGATGTAATTTTATATGAGAACTTTTTACATATAACTTATTGTGAAAACTTTTAATTAATATAAAATTAAAATTAAAAATTTAAATTGATAAAATTAACGGGATCTAAATTGAATGTTTCTCATCTAGAGTACAAGTCCGGAAGAATGGGTTATGGGAGAGCCAGTTTAAAAAAATTAAAAAAAATTAAAAAAAAAAGAGAAAAAGGTGGCTATTTCCTCTCCTTCTATGGGCGAGGCATTGGCAATCCGTCTAGCACTGGAATTGGCTATCTCCAAGGGATGGGCCAAGATCATCTGTGAAGGAGATTGTCTTCTAGTGATTAACGCGTTCAATGGCTCTTCTGCACCCGTAAGTTCAATTGATGAAGATTCGTTATCAGTCACCAATTCCCTGTCCGTGTGCGAGTTTTCCTGGGTTCCGGGAGAATTGAACGGCTTTGCTCACAATGTGGCAAAATGAGCTTTAGCAAATGAGTTATGCTGTTTGTTGGGTGAATGGGTCGAAGTTCCTGGTAATTTATTTGTTATCTTTGCAAGTGAGTATGTTATGTTGGATCCTTAATCTAACGTTGGGTTTATATGTGAATAATTATGTGTTGCGGGTTGTCATATAAAGTTAAGCCTAATTAAAAGTGATCTACTAAAGTTTAGGTATTTTAGGCTTTAATGTATCTAATAGGGTGTGGGTCTTTAATGTGTAGAGACTTAAGGGTAATTTCTATTTTTATGATGGGCTAAAATAGAAATACCAAAAGATAACAGGGAAGTTATCAATATATAGCAATTATGGTTCTCAGATCACACGAATCATTTTCATTCATTCTGACATCCCATCATCAGAAAGAGTACAAAGAGAAAGTTAAAGGGTTATCTAGGAAAACGTGTTGATCTGGAAGACAAACTGCACGACTCTAGAGAGAAATCAAGCAATATGGATTCAGGTACGCTTCCGCTTACAGATTTATTAATTCTTGATGATCTAACATGAATGTTCTTGGCTTTTGCGTGGTGGTTTTCACCAAATCTTTGATTTCTAACATGTTAAAATATTTTTATGTGAAATTTCATAATCATAATAATTTATTCTGTAATTAATTAAAGTATTTTATGAACAATTGTGTTAATGTGAATTAGTAAATATATATATTAAATATTAGTCCATAATGAGATTGAAACTTGGTTTATTAACTCACTTGAGACATATAAACTCCCTCTATCTCATAATATTTGGTAGTGTTGTAGATTTTAGAAAAATTATTATTAGTTGTGCTAAAAAAAATAATTGTTACAAGTGAGTGTTTAGTAACTATAATTATACAAGTGTTGCTGGTTCTAAAAATAGTGTAATGAAAAATTTTATTAATTGTACTATAATAATATTACCACACAATTTAAAAATTAAAATCATATTTAAACTGTTTTTAATTTTAACTGTAAATTCTTTAAAAATCTTTTTTTATAAATAGTTAAAAGAATTAATTTTTAGCTTTAAAAATCACTGCCAGCCCTTAACGTACGTAGGCAGGATCGCCATCTTCATAGTTATGGGTTCTCAAATATGGTAAGGGCCATTGCAGGCCGTGGGACCTACATGGGCTTGGGACGATGGAACTGGGCCCAAATCATACGGCCCAGCTAATGTTCAATCAATCTGGTTGGTGGTTTAAGGATGCAGTATTGTCGTATAAAGAAATGAAAAAAATATATATATCGTGCAAGCTTATTTAATCCCTTAATTAAAAGCAAGCATAGAAATAGCAACCACATACATAGTCAAACCACAATCTCCAACAAACAAACAAACAAACAAAAGCTTAAAATAGAATAATGGCACAATCTTCAAATTAATGTAGCACTATCACTACATTATCAACATCCTTTTCAATTATTTTCTTAAGTTATTTCTTGGAATCTTTTTACAATTCTTTTCTTAAGTTATTTCTTGGAATCTTTTTACAATTCTTTTCTCGTATATATTAAAAAAAGTAATGCCCCAGTTGGATGTGAAAAATGAAAGATCAAGAAATAAGTGAAACATTGCATGAAAGGGGACAGCATTTTTTTTTTTTTTAGTGAAAGTTAACTATAAAGTACTATAATGTTCTAAGTGAAATCTTAAGGAGCATTTTTTTATAAGTAAAAGCCTTTAAGTGTGTGTGTGTGTGTGTTTTTTTACTGTTTTCAAAGAAAAAGGCACGGAGGAGTAACATATTGATCCGGTTATATATACTTAAAAGAAAATCGAAAAAAAGATAATAAAAATAGCCATTCCTACCTTTTTGTCACGCTATCCGAATAATACGCCAAGCAGCCAAAGGAACGGACAAAAACGATCAAAACAATAATAAATATTTCCTAAAAGAACAACACTAATTAATAAATCCAGAACCGAACAAAAACAAAATTAATAAATAGTAATTCACGGATATAATAATGAGGCAACACGGAAATCAATATAGCCCAAGAACAATACAGAACAGAAGTCAGAGTGACAAAGAGCAATTAATAAATACAAGTGAGACTAACAAAATACAGAGAAGATTTGTAGATGGGGTCATAATTATGAGAGAATATTAGATTACGCATTTTAAACAAGTAGGAGTAGGACTAAAAGAGCACAGACACAAAAAGAGCCTAAGAAAGAAAGAAACTGGTGGAAGGTTTTATTAGCCCCATTTCTAGAAGTCCCATCATGCCAGCTCTCTTCCCAAACCCCACTCGGTTCTTCTGACCTGATTCGCGAAGACTTTTTTTTTTTTTTTTCATATGAGTCATAGTTAGAAGATTTCTCTTATTCGAATCATAATTTATAATTTATTTTAATATTTTCTCTTATAAAAAATATATGTAAATTAAAAATAATTTTAATATCATAATTTTAATCCATGAATCAAACGAGCTTATTTTTTTATTTATTGAGATTTTTCTCATGAGTCCTCTATTATTAAAGTCAGTTTTTAATAATTAAATTTAATTAAAATTATATTAAATTAAAAAATAAATTAAATATTGAGCATTTAGTTCATAAATTAGAATTATGAGATTAAAATTATTTTTAATTTACGTGTATTTTTTGTGAAAGAAAACACTGTAATAAACCATGAACCATGATTCAAATCATGGTATGAATCCCCTTATCAAATGTGTAGCAAATGACTGTTGGATTTGAGACGTGAGGGTAACAATAATCC